TAAAATTTGTTCAGAATGTTTCAAAATTGTCAAAAAAATTATAATAGTGATTAATTGTTGGCCTTTGAAAATGGAAAAAAAGAAAAAAACCTAAAACGAAGCCGGGAATGGGGCCCCAAAAAAGTCCCTAACCAAGGTTCCAACAAAAACCAAGCCTTGGGCAAAATTAAACAAACTTTAAAAGGTCCAAAAACAAGAAAAGCTGAAAGTTGGACCAGACAAGGTTCCAGTTTTGTTTTCTTTTTTGACATGACACTGGTCCAAAATAACCAAATCTGTCCAAAATAATTCAAACTTTGTTCAAAATGACTCGAAACTCAACCAAAGTGCGTCAATGCTGTTAAAGAATGATAACTACTGCTTTTGAAAATGCAAAAAAGGGGAAAATGAGGATGTTATTGTGTCCCCACAAAGATCCAATAAGTGTCTGTCTATGGATGGATCCATGCTTCTACTAAAATCCAGTCTTTGGTCGACAGTTCACCAACTTTCAAAGCTAACATCAGTAGAACCAGATGTGTGACAAACATTACAAGACAGAGCTCCAGTTTTTACATAATTTGACATGACACTGGTCAAAAAAGACTCAAAATTTCTCCAAAATAACTTGAAACTTGTCCACAATTACTCAAAACTGTCAAAACTTGCAGCAATTTATAATTATTTACCCTGAAAACAGAAAAAGTGGGAAATTTTCAGTCAAGGCTGGTGCTGTGTCCCCAGAAAGTTCCTAAAAAATGTCCAAAATGCCACAAAATTGTAAAAATGAACAATTATTGGTCTTTAAATATTGGGGGAAAAAGTGTCTATTTCCATACAAAGCTGGTATTAAGGCCTCTAGAAAGTTCCTGTCAGTGTCTATGGATGGATCTATGGTTCTACTAGAACCCAGTCCTTGGTCACATTTCACTTCCTGTTGAGGCTCTAACATCAGCAGAACCTGATGTGGTGAAGTTTTAACATGCAAAAATACTGATATGAGTCCATTTACACCATTTCTGTCATTTGAGATAAAAATTTGTCCGTTTTGTCTAGTTTTTAAGACTTTTTTGCCATTTTGCGTGACTATTTTGGACTCATTTTGTCCAAATTTCTACTCATTTCAGACACAGAACAGTTTCTAGTAGATCCTAAAGATTCAACGGCTCCAGCAGAGGATCACTTTTTTCATTATTGGCCTTTAAAAATGGCAAAAAAGTGCAAAACATTCAGTTGAAGGTGGTGATGTGTCTCCAGAAAGTTCCTGTCAGTGTCTGTCTATGGATGGATCCATGGTTCTACTAGAATCCAGTCTCTGGTCACATTTCACCACCTGTTGAGGCTCTAACGTCAGTAGAACCTGATGTGTGTGGAAGTACGGTTCTAGATGTGGTTCTAGATCTAGACAACAGGCTGCTTCTATGTTGAATTTAACAACATGTTGTTCCTCTGTGGATTTGCATTTCATTTATTTGCAGAAATGTAATTACCAGAAGCTTTTTCAGTGTCTCTGTTGGTCTTAGTGTCCAGTTTGTATCGTCTTCTCCTCATTAACGAGAAAAAAGACGAACAGGTGGGGAAACAGCTCACAAGACAAACAGCGAGCAGAAACCCTTTTATTCACAGACTGAAAGATTTCTGGTGTGTTTGATTCTCTGCTTTGAAGCAATAAAGTCCAACAAACGAACAGAGAAACGTCTTTTCTTGTAAAGACGACGACTTGACGAACGAGACGAGAAACTGAAAGAACTACACAACAGGAGGGGGGGTCCCAGGAAATCAGGAGTTTGGCTGCTTTCTGTACGATTTGACAAAGACGCGTCTGAGGCTGTTTTCTGTAAGCGGCTGCAGTTTCTTATCAGCCGCGAGCGCAGGTTTGTGCAGCTGAAGAGTCAAAGTTTATCCAGAGTTTACTGAAGCGTATCGGTGGGAAAGAAACCCGCGAGAGGGAAAATCCCACGTTTTTCAGTTGTGGTCTGCTGCAGCTTCCACAAAGATAAAGAGCAGAGATTCATGGCCGCAGGAAGAGAAGAACAACACCTGAGCACGAAAGAAGCCACATGCTGCAGAGTATCGCTTGTTCTTCTGACTTCTCTGCACATCTGAGGGATAAACTATGAAGCAAGTCTGACTAATCCAGGCTTTCTCTGCACGAACAAAACTCAACAACAATCATCAGAGTCTTTTCCATGTGCCATTTCACTTTACTTCTGCACAAAATAGAGAAACTTGCTCTTAAAAAAAATGGAGATCTGTGAAGAATTCAAACATTTACTGTGCTAAAAAAAAAAAAGAAGCAGCGCTGTTTCTGTAAATGACGCCAGAGAGAAAATCTGGTGGAAAACTGTTAATGCTGTAATTTAAAGGGTTCAATATCTCCAGAAATAAAACTCCAGCAGCCACGAAATTTGTTGAGAAGACAGACAGAATAGTTTCCAGCAGATTTAAACCATGACATGACTCCAGCAGAGGCCACATGTTCAACTGTTGGCCCTTAAAAATAGAAACAAGTGCAAAATTTTCAATCGAGGATGGTTCCGGTCAGTGTCTATCTATGGATGGATCCATGGTTCTACTAGAACCCAGTCTCTGGTCACATTTCACTTCCTGTTGAGGCTCTAACATCAGTACAACCTGATGTGGTGAAGTTTTAACATGCAAATATACTGATATGAGTCCATTTATACCATTTCTGTGTCACTTGAGATAAAAATTTGTCAGTTTTGTCTATTTTTGAGAAATATTTTTGCCATTTTGCGTGATTATTTTGGACTCATTTTGTCCAAATTTCTACTCATTTCAGACACAGAACAGTTTCTAGTAGATCCTAATGATTCAGTGGCTCCAGCAGAGCATCACTTGTTTCATTATTGGCCTTTAAAAATGGAAAGAAAAAGAAAGTGCAAAACATTCAGTTGAAGGTGATGATGTGTCTCCATAAAGTTCCTGTCAGTGTCTGTCTATGGATGGATCCATGGTTCTACTAGAAT